ATAGTGAAACAAAGAGTGAGGATTAAGGTTATTTACTTTTGGATTAAGGTTTTTGAGACCAAATGAGACTTCTGTTTTCTAATTATGGTTAAGTCGACTTCTTTCTCTTTGATTTCTCTTTGATTTATCTTCTTCAATCTTCAAAACGACGGACCTCCTTCTTATAAATAGCCAAAAATCAGATTGAAATCAGATCTATCCATCAATTGAAAGATCACAGTTCCTGGGTTCGTGTATTGACTTGAATCGTATGATAAGAATGAATTTCTTATTGATTAATTATCTTGGCCGTAAGCCTTACATATAATAAAGTAACCCAATTAATTGACTCGACCGGTTAACAAAAGCAGCGACACTATTAAACAGGGAAGAAAATTTAAATCAAATTGCATAAAACATGAATGAAATGCATAAACCCATGTTACATATATTCGTAATGGGAGCCATTCAAGTTCAAAGAGGATTACATAGAAGATTGGAGAAGACAACGTAAGGAGAGAGAAATAAGTTTTCTTTTGTTATTTTTAATTTATTGAGTTATATATACTTTTTTGAATATATTAGTAACCAAAGTTCCCTTAGATCAGTTGGTTCTGTGTTGGCTATTGAATGCTTGAGGTCGTGTGTTCAATTCCAAAATGTTAGTTTTAGATTTTTTATTTATTTAGGGACTAAAACGACGTCGTGTCATGGCATTACGTGGCATTTTAAACTGCAAACACGGCATCCTAGTCAGCATTTGTTAACGGAATATTAACACCATTTACCGATTTGTTGGTTTTGACCGAATTTCAATTGTTTGTGTAGTAAATTCAAATTTTAGTTAAGTTCATGTATGTATAAGCACAGAAGAAAGTTCTGTGTATGAAAGCGATAAAGCAACTTAGTTCAGGAGGGAATAGGCCGTTTTCCCGACCGATGTCCATAACTCTTATATATATAGATTGCACATCTAAGTGAATAAAATTCTATATGTATTTAGTTCACAAACTAAATATAAGAATAAGCTTATACATCTATGGATCATGGATGGTCACATTGGTGTACTAATACATAGTAAAACATGTTCAAGTTGAATAAAGGAAAAATTAGAAGCAAAAAAGAAAAAAGTTTACGTAAATCTGGCGTTAGGAACGGAAAACTATTGAATTGAACATATTGAATCTAATAATAATAACAATCTCAATAAATGTCATTTGAACTTGTGAACAACGGTTATGTCTTTTGATCGTAATTTTTCGTTAATTTTTTTAAAACTAAATTTTAGAAAATTACAATATGAATGTCTTATACGGTTGTATTTTTTGTAACTCTTCATAAACAAATTCGAATGATTGCAATATTTAGTTTATTTTACATACAATTGCAACCTTTGGTTTATATTTAGTTTAATTCATGAACAATTGCAACCTTTGGTTTATTTTATAAATCACTAAACATTTAATTATCTACCGTCGCGTCTCTCGGTATAATTTTCATAAATTAGTATTTTGAATTTTAAATTTGAATTACCAAAATGTATTTAAATGAGATTGTACCCGTTTAATTGAACTGTTCTAACATTTGGTTTATTTGACGAATCATTGCAACTTTTTGTTTTATTTTACGAACCGTTGTAATCTTTAGTTTATTTGACGAGCCGTTGCACTTTTTGGTATACCGCAACATTTAGTTTATTTTTCTAAAAACTAAAATATATATTTTACGTTATGTTTTTTGAGAAAATTGCAATCCGGGTAAATATTTTCTACGGTTGCATCTTTTTATTTTAACTTTTCATACAACGTTTCCAACCGTTTAGTTGAATTATTGCAACATTTAGTTTATTTCAAGAATAATTGCAACTTTAAATTTATTTTATAAATCGTTATAACATTTAATCATCTACCGAAGATGTAACTTTTCATAAATTATTATTTTTAATTCTTAATTTTTAATTTCTAAAATGTATTTAAATGAGATTGTAACCAAATAATTGAACTGTTGCAACATTTGGTTTACGAATCATTGCAACTTTTGGTTGTTTAGTAACCATTGTAATCTTTAGTATATTTGATGAACAATACAATAATGGTATATTTGATGAACCGTTGCAACTTTTGGTATATTTGATATCTACGGTCGCATCTAGATATTAAAGTTCACCATATTTTAGACAATATTTAACTACTAAAATATATTTAAATGAACTTTTGCTACCGTTTAATTTAACATAGTAGCATTTGATTTATTTAACGAATCAATGAACATTTTGGTTTCTTTACCAAACTGCTGTAACATTTAGTTTGTTTCACGTCTTTTGCATTTGGAAATAGTTTTTTAGTTACAAATTAATGTTTTTCGAATATTGATAAATTTAATAAATGTTTGTGAGAGTTTTCTTTATCATAATTTTCGTAAAATATATATATTGATTTATAATTTAAAAAAATCAAAATTATTACAATTCATTATAACTTTTTGTTTGATATTCTTTCTTAAACGATTTTTGAAATATTTTCCCCCGTGATATCGCAGAGGTCTGAATCCTAATATATCAATAATATTATGGAGACATATCTCGTATGAGAATCTTGTAAAATGGGTATATGACGTTTCTTCTTTTCATTTTCACCTAACGTATATTTCCTTCCTGCAGAAAAAAACTTTCTTGATATTCTACAAATGCTTCTCATTAGAAAAAAAACTAAAATTAAAAATTGAAAATATTTTCAGAGATTAACTTGCTAAAAGCCTAAAACATGTACAAATACATTTAGTAGGTAAAACTTGAACAGAGAAGGAATTTATGTGAATGGCTGATATGATGCCTAATTGCCTAAAATTGATAAAGAAGCTTATAAGTAGAGGAATTAAGAAGTTGATCTCAAGTAAACCTTTTTATTTTCACTCCACTCTTTTATTACAAACTACTAGTATTACTTACCTAATCTACTGGTTAGTATTGCTAATATGATAAACCCTAATGCATAATGTAGAAATCGTTGAGAGCATATATATAAGTAAGTAACTATAAAATACTATATACGTTGATTATACATACGTTGATTATACTATTAAAATTTACGCATATTTTGAACCCCAAAAAAAAACATTTGTATATATCACTTCTTATTGTATCCAACCTTGTAATGGGCTTTTGGGACCTTATAATGGGCTTTTAGTCCATCCTTCTTTATGAAGCAGCTGATCAAGCCGACGTGGCAACAAAAGTCGAACAAGTTAGGGAGAAGTTCGGAAACTTAATTCTCTACATCAGCTACATTCGATATTCCATACACTACCCGCTTTTTCACTGTGTTGACTCTCATATTTCTCTATTCTATTGGATAACTACTGTAGTATACACTAATAAAATACACCTAACCACAGGTGATTAATTTGAGCAAAACTAGATCTTTAAAATAAAAAATGAGAGTTTCTGAGCTCTGTATATAAATCTCTTAAACCCTACCCGTTGTCTTCATTCTCTCACTGCCTCTTTTCTCACTCACTGTCACTTCCCAAAAACCCTAATTTCCCTTCTCTGAGGTTTGCTTCATCTCTTTAATGTCTTTCATAGCTTTAGAAATGGCTTTGGTTTCGATGATCTTTTGCAAAGAAGTGATTTTTATAGCTTGTTGATTAGATATGGAGAAATGGAATTGATTAGTTGTGGCTTTGTTGATTTTAGTTTTCTGGGTTTTATATTCTTTGTGTGCAGACATTTTAGAAATGGCTTTGATTTTAGGGTTTGTGATTCTTTATGGTTTAATTGAAAAGGAATGATTTTTATAGCTTTGTTGATTTAGTTTTACATATATAGAGAAATGGAATTGATTTAGTTATGGCTTTGTTGATTTAGTTATCTGGGTTTTGTATTTTGCGTTCAGATATCTAGAAATGACATTCTGCAACAAACTTAGCAGTATTTTGAGACAAGGGGTTTCTCAGAGCTCAAATGTTCCAGTGACATCTATGGTTGGCTCTCTCCGTTACATGTCCACTAAGCTTTTTGTTGGTGGTAAGTTCATATATATTCTCTTGCTTGTAAGCTTTTTTTAGCTTGTACATATCTTCTTAATATTTCATTCGATGTGGTTGTTTGAATGTTTATTGCTCTCAGGTCTCTCTTGGGGAACTGATGACAGCTCCTTAAAGCAAGCTTTCTCTAACTTTGGTGAAGTCACAGAAGGTAAGCCATGTGTTTTCATTTGGAATGATTCTTAATGGCTATGTTACTATATGTTTATAAAAACCAATGAAGAACGTTTTTGATATGGCTTTGTAGTTCCTAGGGATCTATTTATGTTGTTGATTATGGTTATATATACAATCCTCATACCAATGTTGTGTCTTTGGTTATGCAGCAACGGTGATTGCTGACAGAGAGACAGGGAGGTCGAGGGGTTTTGGATTTGTCAGCTTCGACAGTGAAGATTCTGCTAACACTGCCATAACAGAAATGGATGGAAAGGTTAGAAAGATTATACTGACGCATAGTGTTGATTGTCCTGTCTAAATTTCCTATCACTTATTAGGTTTTTGGGGTTTGGGTATGATCATGAGCTGAAACCTTAGTGTTGATTCTGTCTAAAAGTCTCGTCACTTATTAGTTTTTTTGGGTTTGTGTATGATCATGGACCTTGTCGTGTTTAAAAGTCTTCGTCTCTTATTAGTTTCTTGGGGTTTTGGGTATGATCAGGAGCTGAATCCATAGCATTGATGGTTCTGTCTAAAAGTCTCTGTCTCTTACTAGTTTTTTTTTGGGTTTGGGCATGATCAGGAGCTGAACGGTAGGAACATCCGCGTGAACCTTGCAAATGAAAGACCGAGTGCCCCGAGATCATCGTTTGGTGGTGGTGGTGGTTATGGTGGCGGAGGTGGCTACTAAAACAAACAAGCCAGAGGATTTGAGAGAGAGAGAGGTGGCCTCTGAACTTTCAGTAGTTAGTTTGTTTTCTCTTTTGTTAACTGCAAACAACCTTAACTGGTTTTGTTAAACTTATTAAGCCCTGTTTTGGTTGTCTTTCAATGTATTGTTGCTCCATTTTCTGCAGTCTATTTTGCATCGAGTTCATTCGATGTTTACACTTGGTTCATTTACACTACCATTTGTGGTCTTCGGCTTTATTTGTTTTGTGGAGGTAGAAACTAATTTCAAACTATTAATCTTATCATATTAGTCTTTTTCTATGTCCGTGAAACTGAAATCCAGATATGAATTTGAAGTCATTGTAGTGACGGTCCATTAGACTACGTATTCTAGTTTACCGTAGCATCATCTTCCATCTTCGAAAGAGAATATCTAGAAAAACAACTGCCCAAGAATATTATCAAATGTTCATATCTAAAATAAAAAGCTAAAACTGGCAGACAAAAAAACACACAAAAGAAAGAGAATAAAGATAGGATGACAAAACAAAAGGGTCCAATGCCAAATTGCCAATGGTCCTCTTTTCTCTTTATGGTTTATTGCGATTCGGATTAGTACATTTTTCTGAGTCATTTCATCAAAACCAAATCCAGTTAAAACATTACTTTCATTTTTGTTCTGTTCGGTCTTGGCATAAAATAGCAAAGAGAAAAACATTAAAAAGTAAAAGGAAGAGAGAAAAGGCAAAAAAAGATAAGATAAAAAGGAGAATAAAATTTATGTTACAGTTGGTAATAATGGATCACAGGTTTCATTCCTTGATTATAAAAATCCAACGGCTAAGATCTGCTCTAAACACTTTCCAGCAAGATCATAACCTATTTCATTTATTACATAACAATCCCACATATATTTTCAATTCTACCCCTTTCTTCTTTATCTTTCTATTATAACATACAGCTGTAACAATTTAATTCCCACACTTTGATCCCCCTAAAAAAAGGACCACCACAAAAACATTTATGATTTTTTTTTTTTTGAGGGAGCAATTTTTAAATACGGAAAAAATCTGTCCCTGTAAATGATTTTAGTTTTTTTTTGTAAGAAAAATAAACAAGCATGTGATGATGAGAGAGATGGTATAGAAAATTATTAAGCGGAATCTTCGGCGTGAGAGTTTTCCTTTTTTACCCTCGGCTGAATCCCATAATAACCAACGTACCACTTGACGAACTTCCTCAGCCCCGCCGCGAGATCCGTCGTGGGTTTGTACCCGAAATCTTTATACGCTAAACTCACATTAGCATGCGTGTAAGGCACGTCACCGTTTCTTGGCATTTTGATAAGATGTTTCTTTGCTTTTGTCCCTAACAATCCTTCCAAGATTGAGACCAATCTCCCAACCGGAACCGGAGACGTGTTTCCAAGATTGTAAACACGTAGTTGAGCTTGTCCTCGCTTCTTTCCACCGCTTCCGGTACTTTTCTCCGCCGTGTCTAACGCACCGACACAACCTTTAACGATGTCGTCGATGTATGTGAAGTCACGCGCCACTTCTTGATTGTCCTGAGTTCTGTAAATGTCGATTGATTTACCGTGGAGGATGTCTTTAGTGAAGAAGAAGTAAGCCATGTCTGGTCTTCCCCAAGGACCGTAAACCGTGAAAAACCGGAGTCCGGTTAAAGAGAGACCGTAGATGTGGTTGTAAGTATGTGCGATCTCTTCACCAGCTTTCTTGGTTGCTGCGTAGAGACTCGCTGGTTGGTCTGTTCTGTGTTCTTCAGAGAATGGATTCTCAGTGTTGAGACCGTAAACAGAGCTAGAGGAAGCCCAAACAATCGCAGGCTGAGGATTAGCTGCTTTAGCCACTTCAAGGAGGTTAACGAATCCGGCGATGTTGGATGCGATGTAGGACTGAGGGTTTTTCATAGCGTAGCGTACTCCGGCTTGAGCGGCTAAGTGAAGGATATGAGTGAAAGGGACAACATCGAAGAGTTTACGTAAGAGTGGTCCATCGTTAAGATCACCTTCGACGATGAACACTTGTTGCTTCTCTAAGAGCTCTTGTCTTGCTCTTTTGAGTGATGGGTCGTAGTAATCATTGAAGTTGTCGAATCCTAAGACTCCATCGCCACGTTTTCGTAGCGCAAGTGAGCAGTGGGATCCAACGAAGCCGGCAGCTCCGGTGACTAGGACGGAGAGACCGTGTGGTCGTTTGGCTGTTGAGGATTGTCTGACGCGCTTTTCCCACGCGGCTCCACCGATAGAGGAGGAGGAAGAGGAAGAGGAGGAGAAGAGTCCGGTGGATAAGAAGCTACGACGGTGGAGGTGGTGTGCCGCGGCGGCGCGGCTGTCGGAGAGTGGAGGGTAGTTGATAGCGAAGAGGAGGACGAGGACAAGAGCTACGAGGAGCGTTGCTCGGAAAAGAACTTTAGAAGAAGCGTTGAGAACTTTGGTGCTGTGAATCTTCCGGAGGTAGCTATTGTACCTCTCCAGCTTCACCGTCTTGCTTGTATCCGCCGTCGCCGACAGGGGCATTTTCGTCTATTTGATATAACAATTCGGTGGTTTTATCTGTGTGGATCTTACTCCACTGTTCTTGATCTAAAGGGTCTCTCTCGAAAATGTTAAATTTGAGAAATGAGATTTTGTTTTAGAATTTTGAGAGGGTTTGAGAGAGATTTCGAGCCCTGAAAACCAAGTGAAGGAACGATCTGATGATTATAAAGAAGAAGAGAGAAATTTTGCTGGTCGGAAACAACTTTTTTCCTAATAAAGATATTATATAAATAAACGAGTTATTTTTTTCTAAACTATAATAATGAAAGAAAAGTACTGTTGTAATAATGATAGTGATGTCGGTATTTTTACATGAGGGTGTGATTTTACCCGAAATATAAGAAGGATCCCCAAATTAGGTCTATGCCACATTGGAAGAGTTAGATTGTTCTCCATTGGAGACTTCTTACAGAGTTTACGTTTGCTATCTTTAAAAAACTTAAAAAGTCTTTGAGTTATTTACTTATTTTATAGGGTCAAGATCTATTTATTAACTATGATGTGTTTTTTCATTACTACTAGATGTCACGTTGGGCAAAAAAGATCTAAGTTTGTCGTATTCTTTATCTTTATAGAGATATATGGTGTGTATGATCTTAAATAAAGTTTACAACTTGTATCCACTCAAACTCTCTTTTAATGTGTTTTTTTTTTTGTTCTTTTTCATAACCTTAAATGTATAGATAAACAGTTAAAGTACAATTTCTTTGATAAATAGATATTAATAACCATAATTAAAAGTAAAGATAGTAAAATCTACTAGATATTTGAAATAATTTATGTTAAAAATAATAAAAATGCTAAACATATGATGTTGAATTTATAGTAACACAGGTAATGAATTAAAGGTATTGTTTGCGTTCTTTAACAAAAGGGCATGGAAACTTATCTATGTTTAATGGAAAGTTCGACTGGATCATAGGATAAGAATTTTAAGAATTTATGCTCGGAAGGATATCTTTTGTTTTGCAAATTAGGAACTTTCGAGCCAAAATTTAAGTTATCTAATAATTTTATAATTAATACATAAGTTATCTCTAAGTTATTAAATATAATAAAATCTAGATTTATGTCATTTCAATTTAACTAGTGATATAAGATGATATTTATACATCGAAATATTTTCTTAATCTATGTAAAAATGTTTAAATTAGGACGACTAAAGCATACAAAATATTTAAGAACTGTCAAAAATGAGAGATTATAAAACAAGAACTAACTAACTGTTTTATTTTTTTGGTTCAACAACTAACTGGTTTTATTAATAAAATATGAGTGATTGTTCTGTGACTTAAGAGTAAAGTGTGCATACTTTATTATTCATTTTTGGATTCAGAATCATATAACTAAAGTATGGACCTTCGTTGTTAAAGTATATAATCAAATGATTCAAATAACAAAGGAATTTTTACACATTGGTTAAGCAAGAAGACAACGCCACTTCTGTTTGTCTCGTTGACAGGAGAGCCACATGTGAGTCTCTCCACATGTTCGTATGTGTGAACATTTGGACTAATTTTATTTGCGGACTTTTTTTTTCTCCTCACAACATGTTTATATACTTTTAAATGTATTGTGAAATTGTGGGGATTTAAAAATCAATTAAAGAACAGTACATGTAGAAAATAAATGAAGCCTTTTTAGGACATAAAAACAAAAAATAGAGTAAAATATTCGAATTGTTGATGGTCTACGCGTTTTCTAAAGGTGCTTATATTCTACGCAAAATCAATTATAAGAAAATATGGACTTAAGCCTAAACTTCATTATTAGAGATCTGATCAGAGACACCATGGCTCATTGCACTAACATTAATGATCGATTGATTCAAACTTGTATAATTATTTTTACAGTTTTGTTATCGACTGACTTGTCATATAACCATAAAATCATTTTTACAGATAGTGTATATATGAGTTCGAAATATCAATTCTAAGTTATTATAATATTTTAATCCTTAAATTATTATTTTGAAGTTTCCAGACATTTTTATGATGTGTTTTTTGATCATTAGACTATATTAAAAAAAAATGAAAAAGTAACAATTTATCCGTGATTTGGGGTATATTTAGGGTAACTAAAGCATTGTTTTAGTTATAAAAAAAAATAAAAAAAAATCTAAAGCATTGTTTTAATACACCAATATTCATTCCAGCTGAGGCTATGCAGTGCTGACTTGAATTAGAATATGTTCGATATTTGGGGAAAATAAACATGGAAGATCAAGGAACGTTCGAGAAATAGAAAAAAAAATGCGAATAAGTTAAACATCATAATCTAAAAGTAAAAAGACAAATTAGGTTCCATTTCCATATCCGCTTTAATTCTAAACTTACTACAAAAACATTAGAGCCAAAACTAACCTTTCTTTTACCCAATATTCTACTGCAAGATTAAAATTGTACATGTGTTATACAGATAAATCTGTACTTAATTTTGACCTATTGAAAAACTGATAAGTATCCCCGGTTTATCAAATTAATTCCGATTCAAACTTTTTGCATGTGATATTATTAGAAAATAACATGAAAAGGAAAGAGCGTAAGGACAAGTCACAAGTTGGAGAAAACGTTAGGTCAAGTTTCAAATCAGAAGAAGAATTTGGGCTTGTAAAAAGTTAAGAGCGAAGAAACATGTGGTTTCTTAATGGTAATCTAATCATTGTTTTAAATGTCTAAATTACGAAACTTTTTTCATTATATGATAAAGTATAGTCCTTCATTATTAGTTCTTTTTTTTTCCTTTTTCTTTTTAGTTCATACTTTTGGGTGTCATTAATCTCTTTAATTACGTGACACATATCTTTGTTAATAAATTAGATAGCAAGCTTTTGCAAGTAAAAAAAAAATTAAAATAAAAGCTTTTGCAAGTAGCAACAATAATAATCCATGCAGTATTAATATAGTGTTTTATTGGTCGAGGAGTCATAAACGAATTATAAGCTGTCAGTTTTAAAAATCTGTGGGAATATGTAAATCTGTCGAGATTCTACGTTTTGGTTAAGTAAGATTATTTAATCAAATTGACTTCGTTTTGCATTGGTTTCTAAAGGAACCCAAAACCTCGTTCGTTGCCTTCGTAGAAGATTCACCATGTTCTCTATTTATTGCAGAAGCTCAAATTGCTTAATTTTTTAATTATTTCAGAGGACAGTCTTAGCAGTAAAGGATTTTTTTATCACTTTGTTTGGCATTAATTTGTTTTTATATCATAAAATAAGAATAATTTGGTTGATGTTAAAGATCCGTATGTATTATTTTTTTATTAGTAATATGTAAGGGCATGTCACCGACAAAAACCTCCAGAATTATATACTCTCCAAGATTAACTTAAATAATCTACTTTATTTTAAGCTAATCTATTATTGAGCTCTATTTGTGCATGGGATGTTTCTTAAAGAACGTAAGATCTAGATTTTGCTTATAAGAGATCTCCAACAACGTAAGATCATTTTGAATGCCTCAGACAAATTGTTTTGTGTGTGGGCAAGACAAATATTCTAAGTGCATTTTAAAACTAGTTTAAAACGCGAAATCCATAAAGAAAAATGGCTATTGACTTGAAACGATGTTTTTGTAACCATTTTACAAAACTTACGAGGCAACTGAATTAATTTCTATTGAAAATGGAGAGTAAGCGTATTACAAAACTTACACATTTTTTTTTAAAATGTGGACATATTTGGGATGGATAATAGATTCATCTAAAAAGTTAATAAGGTTAAATATGTTTAGTTAATATTTTGAGAATTATATGATGATATTCACTAGATTTTGACATGGAGATATTGACTAAATATTCCAAATTTTAAAATCTGAGATGGAGTAAGAACATATTTCTTTGTAACTTCTATCCAAAATTACAATTTGTTCGATTATTAGGGATTTAGGGGCATGCGTTTTTAGAAATGACACATATCCAGCTTAATTAGTTGTATGAACAAAAAAAAAGTCAACTTATTTAGCTATTGGAAAGACTCGGTGGTTTTTTGTGGAAATATGGTTTTTTTGAAGTGTCGGTGGTCTCAGACATATTTTGGGAATTAAGATTGAAATTCGTTACTTATTAATTGGAAAGCGATTTGGCAAAGACTCGTAGTCTCTCCTCTTATCTTTGTCGCTCTCTCGAAGGCTTTTCTAGTTGAAAACGGAACTCTTAATTTGTCGGTACGGTTACACTGTGTGAATGATTTGGATCGTTTTCCTTTACGATTTTAAAATTAGGTGATATCTTTTAAAATATTCTAAATATACTTCATGTAATTTTTATTTTTTCGATAACCAGTTTCATGTATGTGTTAACTAAGGTTTATCACTTGTCTTTATCAAGAAACTAAGGTTAATCACTTGTCTTTTTATATCAAAGACAAAAAGTTTATACTTGAAGTAAATTCTAACTATTAAGTACCAAGTAGATATAACACCTAAATATTTTAACCCCAAAAAAAAAACACCTAAATATTAGTATTTTTTTTTTCGTATCTCGAAAGCAGCTGAACTAAAAATAACATAATTAAGACTCATCTCATAATGCAAAACCAATAGTTAACAAATGTATGCAACACCTCTCAAAAGAGCCATTATTATCTATCAGCGCAATTGTTCGAGTTAGTAAGTGTGATTTACACCCTACATATTTATGGAATTTTTTTTTTTATTATACAAATAATAATTATTGTAGCAAAAATTCGAATATGCAATATGTATGAGTCCAACTCTATAAAACAACTAGTCCATGCCTTAAAAAAAAAAAAACAAAATTAGGCATTCAAAAAATGGAATAGAACTTTATATCAAAATTAATTATACTTTATATCAACTTCGTATGTAAATTATGCATATACGATATAGCTGACATAGCAGTAAATGGTATAGCTTTGTCAGGAGGAAAGCTGTAAAGTTTTGGAATTTCAGTGTCCAATGATAGTTTCAAAAGGAAATTATTAAAGTTAAAAAGTATCCAATAATTCGACATCCCTTGGAAGATAACGTATATTTCTCTTTTTACTAACTACGGGCAAAAGCCAAAAGGGCATATCAACGTTAAGATACGCTCATATGACCTTTTCTGTTAGTTGATTATTAAGTACTATTATACAGCTACAAAAGCTTAGTCTTCCTGTCTACGAGATGTCAAACTAATCCAAAATTTTATGAGATAATACAAAAGGAATAGGAACATATTGGGTACCTACCGATGTATATTTGCAATATTTTGTTATAAATCTATGGGTCTTTTGCAAGAATAACCAAAAAAGAAAGAAAAATTAAATATATAACACCTATTATGAATTAATTAAGTGAGTAACACTTTGAACATGAGCAAAGTCTAAATGGCCTTTGCTTTATCGTTTCCAACTGAGAGAGAGGCCGGTTGTCATCAGACGAGGAGAGCTACGGTCGTCATCGGACGAGATGGCGAGGAAGATCCGCCGGCGAATGTCCACGGTGGAGAGGAGAAGATAGACAAATCCGCCAACGAGAAAGTAAGGGAGAGAACCGGCAAAAAAGATTCGGTCGCTGCGGCGGCAACGATGGTGGATGAAAAACTGATGGTGGCGATGACGTTGAGGAGTGTTACAGATCTTTAGAGACGAGAGTGGGAATTGAGAAAGAAGGGTATAATTGCCAATATTACATAAAATATTAAATATATAATGATCAAATTTTTTTATGGTTAGTTAGTGAATTATAGTTTTTTTTTTATGGTTATTTGTTCAAATTTTCCTAAATCTATTGGTATAATGGTATCTAAGTAGAGTTTGTAACTTAACAGTATGTTTTAGTATCGTTGGTGTGTCATAAGTCAAATATTTTTTTTTTAGTATGTTAATGTGAGTTATAGACAGAAAATTACGTGTATATATTTCTATAGATTAAAGAAGTAAAAGAAAAAAAATTAAAAACAAAAAAATCATTGACAAAAGAAGAAATTCGTTGACATGTCGTCGAAGAATATCTATATTACGTCTTAACAAAAAAGAAAAGAAAAGATACACAAATTTACGTGGTTTATTAACAGGGGGCTACGTGTTATCTGGCAGCTAGATTATGTGATAACTGATAACTGTTAATGGATGGATAAAAATTATCTTGTATTCCCTCCGTTTTCGAATAGTTGTCGTTTTAGAGATTTTTTTTTGTTTTTAATTAGTTGTCGTTTTCAGTTTTCGATACAAAATTTATTAATTTTTTACTTTTTCTATTTATTTTTATTATGCAACTTAATTTACTATTAGTTAAATTATGTTTAGGTATATAATTAATGATATTTTTATATTGAAAAACTAACGACATTAATAGTTTCTTAATTTGTGTGCATATAATTAAAACGACAACTATTCGAAAACGGAGGGAGTCAGTGGCGGAGGCAAGAAGGAGGGAGTGGGGTCACATGACCCCTATAAATTTTATATATTAGTTATTTTTAGTGTAAATTTGATTGAATTTGAGGAAATATTTAGTTAAAATTAGTGTTGGACCCTTATAAATTTTTGTTCTAACTTTCAACTGACCCCTTTAATTCATATAATTTCTCAATTTATTGTTCATCATAATTTTTTATTATTATTTTGACCCCTATAAAACTTGTTTCTAGATCCGCCACTGGAGGGAGTAGTATCTAACTCTTTTTTGCAAGATGTACTAGTGGGTTATGATGATTTAAACAACGACGTTATAACTAAGATCATTAACGAATGGTCGTTGTATTTAAGGCTATAACACGTTGAGCATTAAATGTGGCAATAAATTTTGACTCTCGTCACTTGTATTTGTTTTTCTCATACTTGTATAAGAATCCTATGATAGATATGCAATGGATCGGAATAATGTAAGAAGAATAATAAGACGTAGATCCATCTTTGTTTTTTTTTAATCTTATTTTATCATATAGAAACAACTCTCGTAAAATCGAAAATCAATATAAGTCAAAGGATTTCGTGCCACCAAATTTAAAACCTAGTTCAGTCTACAGTTATATACTTATATTAATTTTCTGCAGACTCCATCAAAGCTTAGGAAGATCGCAGTTCACTCCACCGTTTATCACATTTGGAGGCAACGAAAAACAATCAGCATTCTATCCCACATCACATCATTTTCAAGTTCATCGATAGAGAGATTCGGAACACCATCAACGCTCTCGAAGACAAATTAAAGAAAGCATTTTGCAACTTTGGATTAGATGAATTCACTCTTGTGTCTTCTTCGTTTATTTACAACCTTGTTTTTTATTCTTTTTTCACAAAGTCTCAAACATCTTAGGCATTATATTATGTAATCCCTAAACTTTTTCATTTTTAATGATATTTACATTTATGTAAAAAAAGTTGATTAAATTCAAAGAGTGTACGTTTAGTGAGAAGTAGACGGTCATTTGTTTTAACTAACTTGAAGATAACTTCTTAAGAAAAAAACTTGAAGATAACTTGTTTCAACTAATATTAGTTTAAACAAAACTATCATTTGTTGTGAAACTTCAGTGTCTATATCTTCATTTTGAGACTCATTTTCAAGATTACAAATTCTCCCTCTACATTGTTTATAGGAATACAACCTATTCTAATATCTGATTTGTTAATCTTATATATTTGTGGATCTAAAGTAGATCCCTAGAATATTGTAATTGTACCATGTTCATATTTATTAATTTTAGATGAATACAAAGTACATTCAATAAGAATTCAACTATTTACATTATTTATTAACTAACATGAACTTATTTTAAGAACCAAATTTTGGCTAGAGACGCATAAGTTAAAATCAAATTTACGTTTTAAAAACCAATTCTAATTTAGAAAATCATTATTAAAATTATTTATAATTGGGTAAATGTTGTAAGTTGTTAAAATAAAATTGATAATTACTGAATAAACTGTAAAGGTTTCAAACTTAAATGAAAAATATTTAGATGCTCAAAATAAAAATAATAGCCGACCAAAAAAATCGAAAATAACAAGAAAGCGAGAGATTTACCTTAGCCAGAAGCCCGTTTCCCAATTCGATAGTCCTGAAAGGGACAGTGGTTTTGTTGACCAATTGGCTACTATCTCCATAATTTGGCTTCTTACAAGTTGAAAGGACCATTCACAACACACACTACACTTCTTCTCCACTTTCACAAATATCTCTCAATATTTTGTCGGCAGAGGTACATTTCTCCTTTGTTGAGAAGATACTTTTATCCTCTTTTAGATTTTTTTTTGTAATATGCCATCATCTCCTTAATATCTAGATTGTTTCATATATTTATTAGTTTTATAATGTTGCTTGATGTAAAAGATCAATTCCACATCATTGTTCCAAATTTTATATGATAATAATTAACCATGTTAAAAGGTAAGACCGACATAAGGATATGACTTTTGTTCCATCTACTTGTGTACAATAGGTATATAAGAGCATGATTATAGGTGGTCTCTTATAAATTAATCTTAGCAATATTTAAGTAATTTATTTATAAAAGTGATTGTTAAGAGATAGTATTTTTGAGTTAAGATTTTTGTGTGATTAATGGTAGGCTCTTAACATGTGGTTCTTAGAAAAATAAATATTAATATAAAAATAAAATTTATAATTATAGAAAATTTAATAATTGTTGCAAATTAAAAAATTAAAACATACATGAGATACAATTTATAACATAAAGCACAAATGTTTTAAACGTAATTTCTGGAATATTTTGTCCATATATGCTCGACCAAATCCTTATTCAATTGTTGATGCATAGCTCGATCACGAAGTCGATTTCTAGTGGACCATCATATCGACGCGATTTTGATAAAGAACAAGAGTTTAGAAAAGATTGTTTTGTGGTAAAAATAACAAGAGTTTAGAAAAGTAGAAAAGATTGTTTTGTGGTATAAAGAACAAGAGTCTTTGGTAAATCACTTGGAGTATAAAGAAGAAGAGTTGAATTGTAAACGATTGTTGCATTAGTTTGTGAGAACAAGAGTGAAATATATAGAAATCCCAAAGAAGGTGTCGAATTATTGACACAAAACTAATGTGGTGTACAAGCAAAGTAGAAATATGTGGTCTCCATTAGCTTCAACTTGCCAATGAATTATTGACACAAAACTAATGTGGTGTACAAGCAAAGTAGAAATATGTGGTCTCCATTAGCTTCAACTTGCCAATGACTTGTCCTCTTCTTGTCCTGTTTTCTCAGCAGCGTGTTGAAGATGCCTTCCACTCACTGCAGCCTCCCTGACTGAGTCATCATTCTCCCATCCTCCCTACATGAATACGTGAATCGGATATGTTACTTCGTTTCCAAACAAAGGAAAAAGCAAGAAGAAACAACATTTGCTTTGTACCTTGGGAAACAAAAGTCATAAACATGTTTAGAGGAGGAGATTCAAATACATAAAGACATAAAGAAAGAGTTAAACAAAGACATAAACATGAACATAAAGACATCAATACACAAAAACACTTGAACATAAAGACATCAATAAACAAAAACATAAAGACATGCACAAAGACATCAATGCATAAACTTTCAAAGACACAACACTTTAAGTTTACATAAACCAAATGTTGCTCAAAGAATAAAGGAGACAGCAGGTCCGAAATCAGTCTACATGCCATAAGAAGTAACCTTGTGATAATAAAGTTAACGTGACTAATCTAAAAGATTTTAAAATAATCAAGTAAGAATCCTTTCGTCAACAAAACCAAGTAACAAATACCACAGCAGCAACATAGTACACAATGCAGTAAATTGTTCCAAACGTACATAGATACATCCTTTGACAGCAGCCCGACGACAAAAGGCTTGTGGAAGTTCTCCTTGTACATCATAAGAAAACTAAAAAGCAAATCTTACTTAAAGAAGCCATGGGGTCTGCAGATTGTGGAGGTTGCATCATCTCCTTCCCATCTTTGCTTGTATGTTTATGCAAATAAGATAAAGAGACAATAATAAGAATGTTTCTTCAATTTCAGTGAACTTTCTTCAAATACATGACACTGCAACAAAACATAGGAAATATATCATCCAGAAGATACAAAGGTGAGAAAATAAAGCATAGATCCTCACATTTAGAAAGAGAACCGAGAGATTCAACACAAAACCATGTGAGGTTTTTGAGACCCATAAAGACAATTGACAAAAAGATTCAAGCTTTAACACACAGCTCACATTCATACAGAGATTCAATTTGACAAAAAAGCTATAAACTTTGGTTCTAACAAACCCTATTTACTCAATTATGGCACCAAACTTGTGAAGGAGCTGAACAAAATCGTAATCAACACAATGAAATCAAACGTAACATCATCACAACGCAAACATCTAAACACTCGAGCTTGAGCGAATCGATTCATGATCTTCACAAAATTCAGAATTCAAAAGAGGGGGTTTTGAGTTATTTAACACATACATCTTCATCAACGGACTCACTTCTATTGGAGCTTTAGCTTCTCTTCCTACCTTAAATTCGCGGGTAAATTTTGATAAAAGCACTTGGCTTTATACGATTGAAAGAGAACAATCGTGAAATTGATCGCCATCGGAGAGACGATAAAGAGAGAGAGACAACAGAACACGGGCAACCAATTCGAACCAATTTTAAGACGATCCAGACCAAACTCTTCGATTTCACCATCGGAGACAAGAGGAAAGGAGACCAGAACGAGACGAGAAAAAACAAAGACGTTCGTCTCTTAAGGTATTTTGTTGTCTCTTAAGTAAGAGACGTTCCTTAACATTATTCAATATTTGGCATTTAATTTTATTTATATAATTACCTAAAATTTCTCTAAGATATGTCTAAGAGCTTACCGATAATGGTGCTCTATAGTGTATCAATTTATATATTATGAGAGTGAATGATGTTTACACCAAGGCAGATCAAAGAGTAGATCGAACCAAAACAAAAGAGACAAAATTTTCAAATCAAGAGCTATGATTGACCAAGTGGCTTCGGCTTGAAATACATCAAACAGTCCATCATTTAAAGGAGACTGATTAAGACAAAACACCCCTAGATTGATAACATTCATAAGATGGTCCAATCACGAATAAGCCAAACTGCCCAACAAAAAATCCACTCGAGTAAATGATTTTTTCTTGAATTTTCACCAATAAATCCATCATTTTGAAGGTAATGGTCAAGAGAAATTGGCAATAGATCATACTGGATCAAGACATAGACAAGAGACCACACTCACAGCTATTAAACCGAACACTTTAAACACCACTTAAGAGAGTTTTTAGCCTAGTCACATCCATTTAAACTCATGGCATTTCAATCCATCTTAGTAGGCCCATGGAGTGTTCAGAGCGCTAGAGATCCGTTCACAAGCATTCGAGCAATCACAAAACATATATTTCTACAACAACATGCTTCTAAGCTTCTGAGATCATGTGATAATAAGTCTTTGCTTCCAAGTTTATATCAATGAAGATAATTCAAAGGAAATACATAGAGATTCAAGAAAAGGATACATGAGTTTAATGTGAGGATAATTGGTAAGGGTGATGGACAATTGTACATTACGTAGATGCAGTAAATATTCTTCTTTACCATTCTACTAAAAGAGAAAAAAAGTCTTATGCAATTCTTCGGAAAAATTGTTACTTTTGTATGATTTTTGTATCAGTCAAAATACCAAAAATTTCAAAGCAATAAAAACCTTCATCATCATATGTCCTTTGTGAGTATCTATCTTATATTATTGGCCGATAGAATACTCTTAGAATTTTAGTTTAGTATACAATTTATTTAACTAAATTAAAAAATGAATACGATAAGAGGTTGGTTCTCTTATAGCAAAATATGAGATGAAGTTATGACTTGTGGTGTTAGTGGTATTCTAGGACAAAACTGCTCAAATAATTTGTAACAAAAAACCATGACTTCATTTAAGTTTTTATTAAATTTTAAAAAACATTTTTTAAAAGAAAAATACTTTAAAAAATAATTCATTTGGTCGGGGTACTACTAGATGTTATGGCGTATGGAGTCGAGCAAAAGATAACATATGTGAGTAGGGATGTTAATATGGGTAAACTCATCTCATTTAAGTCCACCCTAATTATTTACGGTTTTAGCAAAAATACGGTTTTGTGTTTTATTTCTAATTTAAACATAAATATTATTTAATCAGAATAATTTAGTTTTTACTGAATATAATAATATTTATTTTTTATTTTAATTATTAGAATGTTTTAAAAATCTAATGAATAATGAACATAAAATATATATAAAAGTGTTTAAGTTAAAACCATTTAATAAATGGGTCTAAGATTAACTTATTTAATCTTTTTTAATTTTTTTGCATAAATAGGTTTAAATGGGTTAATTTTTCTAAGACATATGGACGTTGTATATCCAAATTAAAATCACAATGTGATAAGTAAACAACTTTAGTAAACGTTTCTTGCTCGTTAGCGTCCGTTTACCTTTATTATATTAGTTCTTTTTTAGTCAAAACAGTAAGTAGGTAACAATATGAAAAACGACCATGGATTACAACAAGAAGATAGAGATCCATTATATCTAAAGTAAAAAGGTATAGTCTCAACAAGAAAGTTGAGAAGCAAACCACAACTCATTCATACCATCTCAGCTCCTCTTTCTCTTCAAATCTTTCTCATCTTTTTCCTCCTCCTCGTCCTTTTCTTATGCCTTGAGATAATGGGGTATGTCTTGGCGATCTCTTGCATTGATGAAGACAGTTTTGAGGGACTTATCTACATAATCAGCTGAGATCTTCAACCCATTTTCATTCCTTGAGATTGGAACAAACCTCCTTTCCCATTGTCCAACATTTTCCTTCTTCTTCACTGTCTCTTGCTCATCAGGATAGATCAATTCCTTGTACTTCGCTCCAATAGCGTATGGCTTATCGAGACAATTCTTTGCGTTGTGCTTCAAACCACCGCAGTTTTTACATGCTCCAGCCTTGAACCTCTGAGATGTGTCGTAAGATTGAACTCTAGCTTCTCTCTTCTGTCTAATCTCTCTCTTACGAATTTCTTATTATATTAGTTAGCTCTCGTTTATGATTTTCATGAAGGTGATTTTCAGATTGTTGATTTTTAAAAATATTATTAAAAAATTAAAGTGTTTTGCATATTGATACATGTCATATTATAATTAAGAAAGTACGTAACTTCTGTTTTATATTACAAAGAATAAGAAAAAAAAACATATATAATACATGGAGTTAAAAATTTCAATTTTTTTTTCGGTTATGACTTTGTTTTCCCATGTGTTGCATATATTTGTTTGCCTTAAGTTACTTTGATGACTCCTTTTTTCTCATTTTAGATTAGACTCAACAAATTATAACATATTGTAAGAAAATTAAGAAAGAGATTGATCTTGTTTTGCACATATTGGTATTGTGCCACTCTTATATCCATATACTCATTTTAATTTCATTTTTTAAATAATTACACGTTCTTGTTAGCTTAATTATATTTCATGAAGTTCTCTACAACTAAAATACGATTATCATATGTGCCAATTGCGACAAAATTGGCTTGAACAAAATAAATAGTATTGAGACAAATGTTTCTCTAACTTAGAGAGAAGTTAGAGAAACATTTAGAGAGAGAAAGCTATTATGAAATTTTATGATATTTCAGTCACCTACTTCGAAACTCCAACAAAAACTATGAAATGTGATGAATGTAATCACGTTAATCCTGTAAGAAGTCTTGAACTGGCCGATGAGTTCACTATAGTTAAAGAGGCTTTTGATAGTTATTTTCATCCAAATTCATCTTTTCACTCATAACATTTGCAAAGCATGCGAATGTGATATTCCTACACTAAATAAAGTGTGTTGTATTGCATATTTATATATTTCCATTGCTTAAATTTAACATAATTTTTTTTTATCATTTAAACCTTCCTTGGACTGTTGGGGAAAAGCCTAGGGAGGAGCAAGACAGGAAAAAGAAGAGATCATCAAGTTCAGCTGTTCTGCAACACTACTGCCGTGTGTCTAACGAAAAGAAACTTCCTGCTTTGGTTAGCTTCCTGAAGAAGTCCCAGACCAAAAGGTGGTCATTTTTTTCTCCAGTTGCAGCTCTGTAGAATATCATTATGAAATTATGAGAGCTTTTGATAACGATCTGCATTGCTTGCGAATCCACGGGAATCTGGATTTGGAGAAGAATCTTCAGGCATTTTAGAGTTCAAGACAAATGGACGAGGTCTTTTCTTACTCTGCAGTGATGTTGTAGCACTTGGTCCTCACATTCAAGGAGTGGTAAGTTTGTGCTCTATAAAATAAATGTTCAAATAGTTCTGAGATAACATTTACCATATTTGAATTTCAGGACTGGATTGTGAGGTTTGATACGCCTCTCAATCTAGGGCATTACCTCTTGAGTGTTGTTGTCCAAGCTCACAGAAAAGAAGCAAGTGCATTGCTTCTGTTGGATGATGCCAAGATCCTTAGAGACGATGCCTTTAGGGTTTAAATGATAAAAAAAAAATTATGTTAAATTAAGCAA